AGGGGCATGCTCTGGTTGGTACTCCTGTAGCATACTCTAGGTCTCTGGGAGGTGCTTCATGCTGTATAACTGGCTCTTGGGTCCCGAAGGGTCCAAACAGGGTAAAGCCCTTCAGAGTATCCTACTCTCATTATCTCCAGTGATCTCTGCAGCTTGGGGTGGATCTAAGAGGCTGAAGCTGGAGCTCAGAAGGGAGAGCAGGATAATGTAAGCTTAAATGCAGAGGCCTGCTTGCCATGTGAATAGCAATCAGATGCTAAGACAGCTAGAGGCAGCTCAGCCTTGGAGAGCAGCAACTGCAGTGTGGAGGGAGAGAAGCAGCAATGCCAGCAAATGCAGCCACCCAGGAGGGGATGCTCTGACCTTAGGAGGTCAAGGTAACCACCTCTGGAGATGGTGTATGTGTAGTACATATGTGGATTAGGCCTCTACTCTGTGGTGTGAGCTGCCCTGGTCAGAGAAACCAAGTGGACTTGCTCAAGACTGTATGTAGTGTAGGTGACAGTTTCCAAGCCAGTGTTCCTCTTTTGCTTCAGGTCATATCAGAAAGGCCATGGGAAGCATCTGAGATGTGTGAGGGGTATTGAGGAGAAGGCTCATGTTGAAAGCCTCCTATGTATGTGCTACCCCTACCAGGCCCTATGGGCACATCACACCCCTGATCTTCCTAGGTTGGCCCCATATCCTGAACACGTGACCTATGAGGTCTGTCCTCTTATGAGGTCTCTGCTTATAAGAAGAGCTTCTTGTAAGCTGCTGTTGGAGAAGGGACAGCTAGCCTCTCGCCTCCCACCTATTGTTAAAGTATCTCTCCAGTCGTAATCCTTGTGGGTGTGTCCGCACACCTGCACATAGTGCGTTCCTTTCTGCCGTCACCTGGCTGTGGACGACCTAGTATTATGTATGCACTTATTCATTAACTTATCTCCTCACACCAGTAGCATGTGAGCTGACATTACTGGGAACTTGGCAGCAAGTTCCCGTTCTTTCCCTGGTAGTGCAGGGTGTCTGTTTGAGGCAGGTGCTCAGTGACCAGTAGGTGAGAGACTGTTGAGGAAAGTGGAAGCTAGGAAGGTGGTAGGATGCTAGACAAAGGGCATCTCTGTGACCTCAAATAATCCCCAGCCCCTTAGATCTGCATTGGAAGTGGGGGAAGAACCTGATGCATTTAAGATTTCTTATAGTGAGCCAAGTGGTGGTGGCGCACACCTTTAATCCCAGCACTCCGGAGGCAGAGGCAGGCGGAGTGAGTTCGAGGACAGCCTGATCTACAGAGAGAGTTCCAGGATAGCTTCCAGAGCTACATAGAGAAGCCCAGTCTTGAACTTACCCCCCCCCACACACACACACAAAAGATTCCTCCTCGTGCTTGAACTCTGAGGGCCTCTGTGGGAGGCAGAGTTGCAGAGAGGTTTCTGGCTCCTTAGAGATACACACTATGGTATGCTTTGTGTATCAGATGCACATCTACAGTGAATGTAGATATGCCCATTCTGTGGGGTTCATATTGTCTTGGGCTTTAACAAGGTGAGACAAACTGATCTCCCTCCCTACCGGCTAACTGGCTTAGGGAAGGGACTAAGAGAGAGATTATAGGGCAGATATTGTAGGACTACACAGAGAAACCCTGTCTTAAAAAACTTAGGAAGGAAAAAAAAATGAGTAAATCAGCTTTGTTTGGTGACACACATCTGCGATCCCAGTACTGGAAGCTGAGGAAGGGGGATCTTACAGCCATTCTTTTTAGTCTTATCAGTAGTCATATACTATGTCTTGCTAGTAGGGGGTTTCTGAAGTAACAGAATTTAAAATCTTTTTTTTTTTTCTTTTCCTTTTGGACTATAGAGACAGGGTTTCTTTGTGTATCCCTGGCTGTTCTTGAACTGGCTTTGTAGATCAGGGTAGCCTCAAACTCAAAGGTCTGCCTGGCTCTGCCTCCGAAGAACACGCGTGCCCTGCTCCTGTTTATGGTAACTGACCCCTTTTGGTGAGTCATATGGTCAGGTTTGCATCCTCAAAGAGAGACATCTATTATCAACTGCATTTGGAGTTTGCAAGTCATAGACTGCCTGTGATGGGACATGTGGTGTGGTTTGTAGAGCATCGACCCTTCCCCTCTCAAACCACCTTGTTAATTTTCTTATTTCCTGTTTTCTCTTCACAGATGTCAAGCCTTCCAATATTCTAGTAAACTCCCGTGGAGAAATCAAACTCTGTGATTTTGGGGTCAGCGGGCAACTAATTGACTCCATGGCCAACTCCTTTGTAGGCACAAGATCATACATGTCGGTATGAACTGGTTTCCTTTCTTCAGGGCCTCTTCAGGGCTTCATTCTTAGTATAAGCAGCCACATTTTATAGACCATGGAGCCACAGATTTGTGTTGCATGGTGATGGATAGGGATTGAGAAATGAGGGATGAGGTACAGTGTGCCTCTGGGAGAGAGCAGGTGACTTCCTTTCACAAATGTTCACACATAATTGGAGTCTCAGGCACGAGAAGAGATTGTGCTGTCCTTACTCCAGAGTCTGGCTTCCATTCTGAAGAGACTGAGAAGCCACCTGACATCTTACCTGATTGTCAGACCCTCAAACCAAGATACTCAGACATGACCACACCCCAGCTGCCCCACTGCTAGTCCCCATCCTTTTATCCTCTAGTGGCCCTGCTTGGAGAGTCTGTTTGGGATAGTTTCCTCCATTCTGCCCCTTCCCTCCCTCTTTCCTCTGTCTTCACTGCATGTCTGTGGGTCATTTACCTGCCTTCCATCCAGCCCCTGGTTAGAGTCTGCTCTGGTCCAGCCAGCATCCCACCTTGGCATTCCACCCTCCTGAGCCCAGCTCTTCTGGTTTCCACTGTCACCTGAGTACTGTACATAGCTGTCCCCATGTCCATGGTCATGCCATCATGGAACTTTCCACTTTCCCGAACCTCGAGCTTCTAGGAGATCCCAGGTGTCTTTCCTAGGGCCTGGCAGGGGTCTGGCACATTGAGGATGTTAGGATGGCTGGTGAATGGGTGCTGTGAGGTTGACTGAATGAGAGGGTCTTTGGATAGCCCATTTCTAAGTATAGTAGGGAAAGATGGAAGTCTTCGGGGAATGCTTCAGAGGCAATGTGCAGGAAGATTTAGAGTATGGGTAGCTTTTACAGAACCAAGGGAGAAGTGCGGGGCCAGATGGTAAGGACAGGCCTGGTCCAGTGTTTCATGCACAGTCTAAGAGCTTTCATACCCTTGAGTGTCTCAGTCCATTCCTGCAGTTGTTCCATCAGTAGAGATGATGGTTCCTATGTAGGAGGTGGGGATAGCTAGGGCTAGGGAGCCAGCAACCCTTACTTCCTGTGTAGGGGTTATGCCCAAGAGGTATGACCATCTGTCTTCCCATAGCCCGAGAGACTCCAGGGGACTCACTACTCCGTGCAGTCGGACATCTGGAGCATGGGGCTCTCTCTGGTGGAGATGGCAGTTGGGAGATACCCCATCCCTCCTCCTGATGCCAAGGAACTGGAGCTGCTGTTTGGATGCCAGGTGGAGGGAGATGCAGCCGAAACGCCACCCAGGCCGAGGACCCCTGGGAGGCCCCTTAGCTGTGAGTGGCCTGCTGTCCCCAGTTAGGACTGTGGGGAATCTATTGGGGATTTCTGGGTGGTTGCTTCTCTTGGGTTGTCAGGCTGGGTCTTGGAGGAGCAGCAAGGGTCCTTAGGTGGGTGCAGAAAACAATTCTTCTTCCCCAAAACACTTGGTGTTTGTTGATGACTTGCTGTGATCCAGGTGTCATGCTTAGCATTTAGCAATATTAGTTTGCTTTTTTTGTTGTTTTTTGTTTTGTTTTTTTGAGACAGGATTTCTCTGTATTGCTTTGGAAGTTGTCCTGGAACTCGCTCTGTAGACCAGGCTGGCCTCGAACTCACAGAGATCCATCTGCCTCTGCCTCCCGAGTGCTTGGATTAAAGGTATGTGCCACCAATGCCCGGCTAGTTTGCTTATTAATACTGTGGATTTCTTTTTCAATTAAGATAAGATTGACATAACAGAAAGTGTATGTTTAAGTATACATTATAGTTAAGTGGTTTGTAGTATATACTTCTCTGTTGTACAGCTGCTACCACCACCCCAATCTTTCAGGAACATTTCCATCACCCCCAGATCATCTTTCCCCATTGCCAGTCACTCTTACTTTCCCCCAAGGCCAGCCCCTGGCAACCTCTGATCTACTCACTTCCCATTTTCATGCATCTGCCTAACATGCTCTAACTTTAAAACCAGTTTGCTCATGTGCACTGCTATAATTTCTGCTTTAAGAAGAACGAGCACAGAGCTCAATCCTTGTAAAGAACACTTAGGGTATGTGTGGTGAATAGATTTACACAGGAGTAGATTTTTTTCCTTCGATTTGTTATTCTTTATTTCTATGACATAACAGCATGTGCTAAAAGTTCTGACCTCATAGAACTAGTCTGTTCTGTTAGATATAAAAGAAAATATTTGCAAAGTGTGATACTTGGAGTACTTTCATTACTTTGAGAAGATGCATAATATATTTAGCATTTAATAATACTGGTTTAGGAGAATGAAAATGAATCTTTATCAGTGCTGTAAAAGGATACAACAGTTGGAGACACTGAAATTTTAAAGACTCTTGAGGGTTAAGAACAAAGAACTTCAATGTCTTTCTTTTTTTTTCTTTTTTTTTTCCTTCTTTTTGGTTTTTTGAGACAAGGTTTCTTGAAAAAAAGACCTTATTTTGATTTAGTGTGATTTTTGTTGCCAAGGCTACACACCACACAGACTTGTAAGAAGTGGCCAGTCTGACTGCTAAGGCATAAAACGCAGCACCACATGCTTCTGAGTGATGTACCTTGAGATGCCTGGCTCTTAGGGAGTGTTCTCATACAAACCTTTTTTATTTTTATTTTTATTTTTATTTTATATTTTTTGAGGTACCATGTACCTTTCTGTGTAAAACAGGCTAGCCTCTACTCCCAGAAACTGCCCCCGTCTTTGCCTCATGAGTGCTGAGATTAAATACGTGTGCCACCATACCTGGCCAGCCTTTTCATTTTTATGTGACTTGTGCTGGGAGTTCCCTTCTGACCAGGGAGTCCTGGTCTTTATCCTGATGATATCATGTGGTTGAACAAGTGCATGAAGGGAGAGGCATCAGTGCTGGTAACCAACCATTGATAGAGCTGGCTTATGATCTTAGGATAGGAAAGGAAGAACTAACAAGTTCTGAGCTTGAAAGTGTGGCTTAGTGGTAGAGCTTCTCTAGCACTTGTGAGGCTGTTGGCTCTACCTATGCAGTGTACAAAAGCCAAGCCCAAATATTGGCTGCTCTGTAAATGTAAGGATGGGAAGATGAATTGTCACTTGATTTCCACTCCAAAACTCTGTATTTTGCCCCAGTGGTCAACTGACTTACCTGAGGTCACACATCTAGGATGTTAGTGAGCCCAGACTGATAGCCTGGCCTTCTGGATTCCTTCCATGTTTAGGCCTTGTCCAGAGTAGCTTTTTATTGATGATCGTGCTCAACCCCTTGACTCATATTGACAAGGAGTTTCTTATCTGTATATACAATTTTTTTTCTTTTTCTTCTTTATAATCTGTAGCATATGGAATGGACAGCCGACCTCCCATGGCAATTTTTGAGTTGTTGGATTATATAGTCAATGAGGTAAGTGCTGCCAGGTTTCCTTAACATTGGGGTTTATTTATTCTACTTAAGGAAGTAGTTACGAGGGCTGGAGAGATGTCTAGTGGTTAAGAACACTAGCTGTTCGTCCAGAGGACCTGAGTTCAATTCTTATCAAGCACATGGTGGCTCACAACCATCTATAGTTGGATCTGATGCCCTCTTCTGCATAAAGTGATAATACAGCCAGAACACTCATACATAAAATAAAACTTTAAAAAAAAAAAAAAGTAATTACGGGCTGCTGAGATGTCTGAGTGGCTGCTCTTGCAGAGGACCTGGGTTCAGTTCCCAGCACCCGTAAGACGGCTCATAACCATCTGTAACCCGAAGTTCAAGGGATCTAACACCCTCCTTTTCGGACACAGACATACATGCAGACAAAACACACATATAGTAGGAAATTACCAATACGGAGTCAGGTAGAAATATAAGGGCATTTAATAGGGAAAAGCCTTACTTACAGAGTGACCTAGCCAGCCGGCGAGGCAGCAGTCTGTATGCAAGCCCAAAAGAAAAACCGAAAGCGAAAACGCAGTCACCCTACGTCCCCTGACCACGCCCTCACAAGCTTGTGATCAGACACACCTGTAGCCAGCCCCTAAGTAGGTGTGGCTACAGCTTCCCCTACACACACACATAAAATAAAATGAAAAACAAACAAACAAACAAATAAAAACAAGGGAAGAAACAAAATAGTTAATGAGTGTGTTGGGGCACACCTGTGATGCCAGTACTCAGATTGAGTCAGGAGTTTCAAGCCTGAGGCCACAGGGACTACATAGTAAGATCCCTGTCTCAGAAGGGTAGATGGGAGGGAAAACCCATGGCTGATTTGGTCAGGATGCCTGTGAATTGTTCACTTGGTACAATCTGAGGGTGCTTGTGCTTTGCTCTTGGAATTGTCATCTCAAGAGTCTCTTCCTTTCCAACATCAGGAGCCTCCCATTCACCCACTCATGTTTGCCTGTCTTCATTTACTAGGCTGTTCAGTGCATTTACAAAGTTCTGAGTGCAGGGGATATGAGGAGGAATAATTGGAAAGGACCAAAAATTGAAAAGCAAGAGTCCATAGTCTCCATGATGATTTGGGGGGGGGGCAGTTGGGCTAGTAAATGTAGAACTGCAACATAATTGCTTTTAGTTCTTTGTTGTTTTTCAAGACAGGGTTTCTTTGTGTATGCTAGGCTGTTCTGGAACTAGCTGTGTAGACCAGGCTGGCCTGGAACTCACGGAGATCCATCTGCCTCTGTTTCCTGAGTGCTGGGATTAAAGGTGTGCACCATTACCACCCTGCTGTTTTTTATTCTAAGAGCTGTTTAAAAAGCTGTGTCTACAGAGATGTGGAACATCCACTTTCAATTCTGTAAAAGAAGCCAAATTACTTCTGGGTCAGGTGGCATGCAATCTGCATTACAAGCCTGTAATCCCAGCACCTGGGAGGCCAAGGGAGAATGTCGTGCATTTAGGGCTAGCAAGCACTGTAGAATGAGACACTCTCAAGGGGGGTGGGGGGTTTTGAGAAAAATCTTCTTTTGTTTGGGGTTTTTCCAGACAGGGTTTCTCTGTGGCTTTGGAGGCTGTCCTGGAACTCGCACTTGTAGACCAGGCTGGTCTCAAACTCACAGAGATCCACCTGCCTCTGCCTCCCGAGTGCTGGGACTAAAGGCGTGTACCACCACCGCCCGGCTGAGAAAAATCTTTTTTTAATGTATGTGCCTGCTATAAAGGAGATTAAAATTTCAAACTCTTATTGTTACTCTTGACTGACTTTAATATAAAGATCCATACCACTTGTGAAATCCATTTACAAGTAAATTTACATTAAGGAAGGAGGAGACTTGGTCCCTGGGTTTGCTCAAGAGTAGGCTGAGGCAGTACAGGATGTGAGAGGGAGCCCAGTGGGCCAGCACTCCATCCTGTAGCAGGAACAGCCTTGGCAGTTAATGAGAAGGGGTGAGTGCTGGCATGTTTCAGAAGGAGCACTAGGCTAGATAAGGCCATCACCTATCCTTGACTTCCTTAAGAAATCATAGGATATCTGTTTTGTCCTCTGAAAACAGACCCTTAACGGCACAAAAAGGCCCACTGTCACAAACTCAACAGGGAATATCCTGGTAACCCTAGAGGTGCTTTCCTGCTTACCAGGGAGTTTAGTTTACTGCTCTGTTGTGTGCAGAGCAGTGTGCCAAGGGGCAAGGCAGACCAGCCCAGCCTTGAGGGATTATCAGTGCAGTGTGGGCCACCCAGCCTGTGCGCTCTGCACACTGCTCTGCCTACACATGGTCACATTCTGTTCTCACTCTGTTCTTCAAGCCAGCTGAGGTGGGCCAAACGGCCTGTGCCCTCTTCATATAGGTAAAGAAACTGAGGCTCCAGGATGGGCAATAGCTACTTCCCCCAGTGCTTTCTTCCTATCATCTACCTTTCCATTCCCCGACCACCAGAGTCCTTGTTGGCCCTGGCCATTTCTTGCCTGCCCCTTCTTCTCACTTAGGAAGAACAGACATTGGCTTCTGGAGACCAGTTGTTTTCTCTTGACTATTCCACACTTTCTTAGTAGTTGGGACAGTTAGCAGAGTGGGGCTTGCCCAGAGTCAATGCTCTACAATTTGAGTGGTAGGTAGCTGACCTGAAATTGACAAGGCCTTCCTGATGAGATGGCTTGCTGGGCTTTTTAGTAGGAGACTTGTTTTTTATTTCTGAAATGCTGGGAATCAAACTCATGTCTCATACATGATATTATTATGTAAGCTCTCCCCCCCTGAACTGAGCCACACCTATGGAGTCAGTGTTTGTTTTAGATAGGGCCTCTCTCATTATGTAGCCAGGAATAGTCTCAAATGCCCCAACCTCCCAACATGATGGGACTACAAGCAGGCAACATCCAACTGGTGTTTTCTTTCCTTCCTGCTTCCCTCATTCCCTTTGTTTTTTGAGACAGGGTCTCATTATATAGCCTTAGCTGGAATTCACTATGTAGATCAGGCTGGCCTAGAGATTCAAGAGATTCAGCTGCTTCTGCCTCCTGCGTGCTTTGGCTAGTGTCTCATTAGAGCAGGGACATCTTAATGCATATCTCAAATACTGCTCCTCCCAAGAAAGCTACACATAGCTGCTGGCACAGGTCACATAAACTGACAGATTTCCTAGAACTACTGTCAGGATCCATGCCAGAGACCTGGGAGCTACCACGTTGCTGCAATGTGTCAGTAATATTCATCTATACTCAGCTTTGCCAGTTAATGTAGTAGCTTCCTCTGACTATTTGGGGTTCATAAAAGGGTTTTATGATTTCTGGGGGTGCTATTATGTCTGAGTTTGTGCCTCCCTGAGGCTTCTGCTGTTGGTAACTACTGCTGGCACTTCCAGGCCAGTCACCACTCTTATACTGCCATTCTGCACTTTAATGTCTAAAGTCAGAGGGCTCTAG